GTACGCTGCAAGGGCCGTTTGCACAATAGTGGCCATCTCGGGAAAAGCTGTGTGAGAGCCAGTGCCTCCCCGGAGAGCCCGATGCTGCGAAACCACCCCGGAAGTTAAGGGACAGCACATACCAGACAGTCTGGGATGTTTTCACAGAACCTTCATGGAATTAACCCCAAATCAGATTGGCTGGGGCGGTTAAGGGTGCGGGGAAGACAGGAGGCACTGATAAACGTTGCTTCTGTGGGCCTCTCGCTTAAAAGCCAAGGACTCTTCCAATGACAAGTTGGTTTCCGTAGATAAAAGACCCAGATTCTAAATTTAAAAAAATAAAAAGATGCCCATCACGAGATAGAAAGTGCACATTTGTTATTGTGCTTTAGAAAGGGTTCAAATTAGCTCGGAAGCAGGAAACAATGGCTAGTCCTTGATGGGTGTTATAAATTTGTATATATTAACAAAATTCCAATTCCGTTTTTAAGCATTGTGGGTTTTTTGTTTACTTGTTTTTGTTGTTGTTTGCTTTTTCTTTTTTGGGACACAAGGTCTCATTATGTAGCCCTTGCTGTTCTCGAACTCTGAGATCTGCCTGCCTCTTCCTTGAGTGTTGTCCCACCACACACAGGCTTAAAGGTTCACATCTGTAGTCCACCTCTGGAGTTCCAGGTGATCTGACACCTTTTTCTGAACTCCTTGACACATGCAGATAAAAAAACTTGTACACATAAAATTAAATAAATAAGCAAGAAAAAGTTAAAAGAATTCTTTAGAATTCAAAACCAGCACGGTCTACATAGAGTTCTAGACCAGGCTGAAGAACCTCTGTCTTCTCTCACTCCTCTCCAAAATAATAAAAATAAAAAACCCACAGCACTTTTGCCAGAATCTATCTTTTTTTTCCAGAGAGGAAAGGTTTGGGCTTACAGTAGCAGGGGATACATTTAATCGTGCTGGGGAAGTTGTGGGCACTGGGGAGACTCCCTTTATAACTGCAAGAGCATGAGGTAGACAGATCCTCACAACGTGACAGCCCGGAAGCAGAGGGCTGGAGCTGGAGCCCGAAGTTGGTATCACCACCAAGGCCCACCCAAAGTGACCCACTCATTACACAACCTCCGAATAGCATCTCAAGCTGAAGACCAAGGGCTCAAACACAGGAACTGGCCAGGCATTATGGTGCACACCTTTAATCCCGACAGACGCAGGCAGATCTCTGTGAGTTCGAGGTAAGCCTGTTCTACAAAGAAGACACTATCTTTTAAAAATAAGAAATCAATGGAGGAATTGCCTCTCACTGTCCTATGGGCATGTCTGTGGAGCAGTGTCTTAATTAATGACTGATGTGGTGAAAGGACCAGGCAGACGCCATAACAGACTGCTCAGTCCTCTCTCAGAGATCAGGCCTCAATTTCAGTTTCCTGAGACTTGAGCAAGCAGTTTCTGAGAGGGCTGTGAACAAAAGACATAGTCCTTGCAATAGCTCCCTTTCTGCACGTACTCTGACTGTTCAAGGTTCAACCAGTTGTTTACTGTCTGGGACCCCTCACCAACTTAGAGCTATGTGCATGAGTCAATGTGAACGTGCGAGGCCACCCAGCCTCCATGGCAGCTCAAGGACAGAGCCTGGGCCACTGAGTCAGCCCCCATAGTCAGTATGTGCTAGGTCAGCCAGCCCCCATGGCTGCTCAAGGACAGAGCCTGGGCCACTGAGTCAGCCCCCACAATCAGTATATGCTAGGCCAGCCAGCCCCCATGGCAGCTCAAGGACAAAGCCTGGGATTTGTCCAGACCTGCCCCCAAAATGATAACTGTAACCCCCAACCAGTAAATTCAGAGGTTACACATCCTCACCCAATCATATGACACCAAGGCTTGTACCACCCTGCTTGCGGTTTTTCCCTTTAAAAACCTCTCACCCTGAGAGTTCAGGGCTGTCCTCCTCCACCTGATGTGTCAAGTGTTGGACAAGGACCAAGCCCGGGCTTGCTTGTTATCAATAAACCCCTGTGTGTTTTACTTTGGATATCAGCTCTGTGGTGGTCTTGCTTGAGGGTCTCAAGATGTGACCACAGCAGTGAGAGGGCCCAGCCCACAGTGGATAGTGCTACCCCTGGGCAAGCGGCCCAACATTGTTTGAGAAATTTTATAAGCTGAGCAAGCCATGGGATGAGGCCAGTAAGCACTGTTTTTTCACAGGCTCTGCTTCAGTTCCTTCCTCCAGGTTCTCACCTTGAGTTCCTGCCCTGCCCTCCCTCAGTGATGGATTGTTACCTGGAAGTGTAATATGAAACAAATCCTTTCCTCTTCTAGGTTGGTGTTGGTCACAGCAACAGAAAAGCAAGCCAGGAAGTGTGTCTGTGTGTGTGCCATGTGTGTGCATACAGGTGTCCTTGGAGGCCAGAGAGGGTGTCAGATCCTCTGGAGCTACAGTTGCAGGTGGTTGTGAGCTGCCTGGTGTGGATGCTGAGAACCAAACCCAGGTGCTCCAGAAGAACCAGGAATCACCAGTTCTTACCACTGGTGCTTACACTAATGCACTGGGAACTTCGGACAAATAAAACTTAAATATCGTCTCTCTACCAGAGACAGAGGAGGGGTCTGTAAGACAGCAGAGGGCTGCAGATGTCTTCCATCTTTAGGCAATTCCATTTCACTCCTAGTATTAAGTTTAAAATTTTAGGATTTATCTATACGCTCCCTGAGTATAGATAGCAATTAACTTACAGTTGAAGATCATCTTAATGTTTTCTCTCTCCCTCCCCCCTCTATGTATGTTTGTTTTTGTTTGTTTGTTTTATTTTGAGAAAAGGTTTCTCTGTGTAGCCCTGGCTGTCTTTGAACTCACTCTGTAGACCAGGCTGGCCTCAAACTCACAGAGATCCATCTGCCTGCCTCTGCCTCCCGAGTACTGGGATTAAAGGCGTGCGCCACCACTGCCCAGCATCTAAATGTTCTCTTAATTCCAGGTTTGTTAAATGATTTCAGCCCATTTAAAGACAGAAAGAGAAAGAGAGAGAGAGAGACAGAGAGAGAGAGACAGAGAGAGAAAGAAGGAAGGAGAGAGAGAGAAAAGAAAGGAAGAAAGAAAGAAAAGAAAGAAAGAAAGAAAGAAAGAAAGAAAGAAAGAAAGAAAGAAAGAAAGAAAGAAAGAAAGAAAGGTATATAGTAAATGTTAAATTCTGGAGCACATGCTATTTGGGAGGAAGAGGCAGGAAGATCAGGAAAAGTGCAAGGTTACCCTGGGCTAAAAGAGACTGTCTCAAGACAATAAATTCAGTTCATTCCCTTTGAAAAGTCCACTAAGTTTGCATGGTGATGTCAACCGTGACCTTTCTCACAGAGCCTTGCTCTTTGGAGTTGGCTGAAATGTTTCTACTTCATAACCTTCACATTTCCATTCCTGTCAGTCTACAGATAAGATCTCCACACAGGAAAAGTTGACAGCAGAGTAACTTGAGGGAAGGAGAGGAGAGAACTATAAAAAGAATGAAGTCAAGGGTACAGGTACAGCTCAGTGGAAAACCAGGGAGGCTGCCTTGGGGTCGATCCTCAGCAATGAAGAGAGAGACAGGGAGACAGAGAAGAGAAGAGAGAGCGGGGGAGATAAAGTAAAAATTATCCTAATCATTCATCAAGCTAGAGAGCTAGCTTAGTAGTTAAAAGTGCTTACTGCTCTTACAGAAGACTCAGCTTCAGTTCCCAGCACCCACAAGATGGCCAACAAGTGCCCATAACTCCAGCTCCAGAGGATCCAATGCCTTCTTCTGGCCTTTATGAGCACCTGCAGAAGCATGCCCATACACATACACACAGACACGCCCCATACACCCTGTCTTAGTGTTATTATTGCTATGGTGAAATACAATGACCAAAAACATTACAGGCAGGAAAGGGTTTATTTGGCTTACATATCCTGAATCACAATCTACTGGGGGAAGCCAAGGCCAAAACTCAAACAGAGCAGAAACCTGGAGGCAGGAGCTGATGCAAAGGCCATGGAGGGGTGCTGCTTACTGACATGCTCCTTGTGGCTTGCTCCGCCTGTTTTCTTATAGAACCCAGGACCACCAACCCAGGGATGGCTCCACCCGCAATGGGCTGGGCCCTCCTACATCAGTCACTAAATAAGAAAATTCCCTATAGATGTGCCTACAGCCCATCTTATGGAGGCATTTTCTCAATTGAGAGTCCCTTCTCTCAGATGACACTAACTTGTGTGAAGTTGGCAATAAAAACTATCCGGAACATGCACACACACATGAATAAAAATAAAATAAGATCTTTTTAAAAAATCCTGATGTTCATGCCTGTTAATAATAGTTTGAAGAGACTATTAAATGTTTCTTCATTTGTAATGAAGATTGTGTTCAGCAGTTCTCTTCCTCGTCTTGTGGAGTATGAAAGCAATAATTAAACATTAACGGAAATTTAGAAATGTTTATAACAAACCACACCTGACAGAAAACCAGGGCGGCTGCCTGCAGACCTCTCTCTGTTCCCCCAGATCCAATCCCTCTATTTCATCCCCTACTCTGCTGCAGAACACCCTTGGTGTCATTCCCTGCTCCTCTGTTCCTATTTTCTGTTGGTTTTCATTGCTGTGAAGAGAAATCATGACCACAGCAACTCCTACAAAGAAAACATTTAATTGAGATGGCTCACTTACAGTTTCAGATGTTTAGTCCATTATCATCATGAAGGGAGCATGGCATTGTGCAGACAGATGGTAGCTGAGAGTCCTACATCTTGAAGGCAACAGGAAATTGACTGAAACACTGGGTGGTATCCTGAGCACAGGAAACCTCAAAACCTGTCCCCACAGTGACATACTTCCTCCATGAAGGCCATACCTATTTCTTTTGGGAGATGGGGGGCTTCCCATTTTTAATTTATTTAAAATCACCTCCTTACAATTTCCAAAGAGAAAATACAAAAGAAACAGACCTGGTTTCAAACACACAATCAGTGGCTGGAGTTGAAAGTGTTGCTGATGGTACTGTCATAGGACGTCAGCACACTCCAGGGCACTTCAGTATTCCTGAGGAGTAAACATGGTTTCTCTTTCCTGCCACTGGGATGTTCTCAGCATACGTCACTGCTCTTTTGACATATTTTCTATGTAGAAGATACGGGGCCTGCAAGTCATGCTGACAGTTGGAGTAGGCCACGCCAGAACCGAAGGCTAATGGCCACATTCTTCTTTTAAAGAAGGTGAGAGAGAAAGCAACTCCTAATCCAAAGCCTGTACCTAGCTTCACCTCCACCTCCTCCATGCACCGGTCCCACTTTCTGGCGAGGTCAGACCCTGACATGTTCCCCACCGGCAACTCCAGAGCTCCTCATGCCCGCACCCGCCCCCCAGCTGATCTCTCGGCCATACCTATTTCAACAAAGCCACACCTCCTAATAGTGCCACTCCAGACGAGATTATGGGGGCCAATTACATTCAAACTACCACACCTGTGGATCCCATAGCTCTCCCCCCTCTAACCTTCCTCTCCTCACTTGCTGCTTTGTCCCAGACCCGAACCAAAGCAGGCACTCCCTGCTAACCCAAGGGATGCTCCTCCCAGGACAACAAATAGGCTGAAGATGGACCTAACCTCTCCGACTGCTCCTGAGATCCAATCCCCCCAGCTCTGGCACAGAAACTTGCTGTGGTCTTCCTTCCCTCTCTGACCCCATCCCCGAGGGATCACAAAGACCTTCTTCCCCAACTCATCCCAGGATCTCAGCCTCCAACATCAGCAGTCAGTTCCTGTTAACACACCAGATAAGCAGGCCAGAAAACAGGCAACACACAGACATTACACTCTCCAAAAATCGGGAGAGGAAACAGAAACCAAGGAACAAAACACCCACCCAACAAAGACAATCCAGAAATCAGCATCTACACCAGTAATCACCCCAAATCGCCCAGAACTGGAGTTACAGACAGTTGTAAGCTGCCATGTGGGTGCTGGAAATTGAACCCAGATCCTCTAGAAGAACAGCCAGTGCTCTAAACTGCTAAGCCATCCCTCCAGACTCCTGAGACTTATTAATTGTAAATGCTCAGCCAATAGCTCAGGCTTGTCACTAACTAACTCTTGCTTTTTTTTTTTTTTTTTTTGGTTTTTCAAGACAGGGTTTCTCTGTGTATCTTTGCGCCTTTCCTGGAACTCGCTTGGTAGCCCAGGCTGGCCTCGAACTCACAGAGATCCGCCTGGCTCTGCCTCCTGAGTGCTGGGATTAAAGGCGTGCGCCACCACCGCCCGGCCAACTCTTGCATTTTAAATTAACCCATATCTATGCTCTGCCACGTGGTTCAATACCTTTTCTCAGTATGACAAGTTCATCTCCTTCTCTCCTCCTTCGAGCTTTCTTTTTTCTGGAAGTCCTGCCTAACCTCTACCTGTCCAGCTATTGGTCAGTCAGCTTCTTTATTAACCCAATCATGGTGACACATATTAACACAGTATAAAGGAATATTCCACATTCCCCATTTTTGTCTAATTAAAAAGGAAGGTTTTAAATTTAACATAGTAAAATTATATACAACAAAACAATCATCAAGCAGGAATTACAGCTACAATCTCCAGTCCATTTGTATTTGGAAAAATAGAGAAAATACTCTATCAGCTGTCCTCTCCTGAAGAGTCCAGAGTTTTGTATCTAATTTACTTTCTACCATTATTAGGGAGAACTGTAATTGTTATTATCTAGTCTTCTATCTCATCAGAGACCTGAGAAGGACATACTATTACCTGAGTAAACATGAAGTGCAGAGCAACAACTTCCAAAATTAAGAGATGACAGAAACAGTTGGCTGCCTGGACAGTCACCCAAAATTCTTCTGTAATGTTGAGGCATCCAACTTTGGTCTACAGGCCTAGAACATCTGACAAACTTTTCTGTGAAGCAGGAAGTTTTGAAGGACTGTCCTACCCTGTCTTGGCAAAGTTCAGCAGTTACTTTTCTTTGTGTCCTACTTGTTCAGTTTGGACAGTATACTGTCAGCAATTGAGGTAAGGGCAGTGTGCCCAAATGGCTTTTGCCATAAAAGAAGGAAACTCCACACAGAGGCTCTTTGATGCCCATCATCCTTTTTTGAAGTAGATTGGTGCTGTCAGGAGCAGATGTGTCTCACTGTTATAAAAGCCTTAGGGTATTAAATATATTAAATGCCATATTCTGTAGGTCTTTGAAGTGTTTGTATATTTCTATCTAAATATATTTATATATGACCTTGAAAACATACCTAACATGACTATAATTTGACTATTATAGATGACTATTAATCTGTATTTTTTAATTATACATTACATTTTTTTGTTGTTGTTTGAGACAGGGGTTTCTCTGTGAATTGGTCCTGGCTGTCATGGAACTCACTCTATAGACCAGGATGGCCTTGAACTCACAGAGATCCACCTGCCTCTCTGCCTCCTGATGGCTGGGATTAAAGGCGTATGCCACCACCACCTGACTACATTACATTTTTAAATGAGCTGCATAAACACAATACCCCAAACAAGAGTAGAAACATACATACAGTATAACAGAATTAACTTTAAATTTGTATCAATAAACCAAAATCTATACCAATGTAAAATATTTTGATATTAATAGTTGTTTTTTGGATTAAAGTAAATTTAATAATCTACCCTTTCCCCCCATCATTTCTATATCATAACCCCCTTTTTCCTATAGAAAGAGATCTTTGAATTTCACTCCTTTGTTTAGTTTTTTTTGGTTGTTTTTGTTTTTTGTTTTGTTTTGTTTTTTTACTATGACCAATAACAACTTCTAACCAATCTCCCTTAAATGATAACAAGCATCCATAATCCATCTTTTTGTGAATGTGGGCACTGTATTCTCTCGACTGCTTCCTCTTGTCTGGGGTTGCTGGACTCTTTGGGGAACCTTGAGAAAATCGGTAATTGTTAAGTCTTGACTGGGGTAGCCTGTGAGGCCGCATCATCTCAGCCAGCAGCCTTGAAGTTGTTCTGGATACTGAACCACCTGAGCCATCATTTTCATTGGTGTCTGGTCCCCTTGCTCTGAAACTACATAAACTTTTAAAGGCAACGTACATACCAGCATTAATACAAGTATATACTGTGCATTGTACAAAAGTCAGCCAAACATGATTTTTTTGTTCTATGTTTGAGCAGGTAAAATATACATCACCTGTTTCTTAGTTTTTCTAGGTTTATTTCTTTATGTTTGCACTCAGGATTTTCAGGGTGTCTTCCCAGATCAAACCTCATCCATATCAACCTGAAACAAATCTAAATGGAGGTACTAAGGGTTGGGGAGATGGCTCAGCAGTTAAGAGCACTTACTAATCTTCCAGAGGATATATGGGTTTGGTTTGCAGCACCCACATCAAGTGACCTAAAACTCAAAATTGCCTGAAACTCTGGTTCCAGGGGATCTGATGCTTTCTGGCTTCTTTGGACACCTTTGTGCGAGTGATGCACATAAACAAATAAAAATGAATAAATGAGGGGCTGGCAAGATGGTTCAGTGGGTAAAAGGGCTTGTGCCAAGCCTGACCTTGGTTTGATCCTGGAACTCAATAGTAGGAGAGAACCCACACAAGCAAATTGTCCTTTGACCTCCACACAAGCACCATGGAACATGGATGCACAGACGCACACCCAATGAAAAGATAATAAATGAATAGTTAAAGGAGATACCAAAAGAGAATGGCTCCATTTTTCTGTCACTAGACATTACTGTCTGTTACTGCAATAACCACCTTGGCTTGACAGTGGCCAGGTGTTAAATTAAGTTTTCCTGGGGAGAGGTGAGCAGATGTCTATTCCTACTGATACAGCATCAACAACAGACCACAGAAACAGTTCTACCCATGTCGGGTTTGGTGAAGCAAGGAGTCTGGTTGAGATTCCCTCCAGGTACCTGTATGAGAGGTTACCTGCAGGAGTATGGGCAGATGGCTATGCCACCATAAAGTAGAGCCACCTCGAGTGTTAACCAGGTATGTGCACTTGGAGTGGGGCAGGGCCTTGTGTGTCCTCATCCTCCACAGGAAACTGTTCATGGCCCAGTCCTGTGAAGGGTTTGTGCAGGTAATTTCAGCTGCTCCGATGGCAGCACAGCCATGACCATGTTACTCCTGGTTGCTAGAGTTCCACACTCCAGGCTTAAGAGCAGAGTAAACTTACTGTAAACAGTGCATGAAACTGTTGAAACAGAGGAAACATCACTGTAGACTGAGCAAAACTGAAGAGGGGAAACATGGGAATGCATGTTCACAGTGAAATCCATTAGGACCTAAATGTTTTTATACAAATTCAACAAATATTTCCTTTTTGTTGATGTTGTGGGAGACATAATTTTGCATTTACAGAGTATGTAAATTTGACTGAAAATGAGTTATTGAACCCTCCTGGAAACTTTTATAACACTTAGCAACTGTGTTAGTTTGAATGAAAATGGCCCCATAGGCCCATAGGGAGTGGTACTGTTAGGACGTGTGGCCTCTTTGAAGAAAGCATGCCATTGAGGATGGGTGCTGAGGTTTCAGAAGCCCAAGCCAGGCCCAGTGGCTCCCTCTCCTCCTACTGCCTGTGGATCTGGATGTAGAACTCTTAGGTACCATACCATGTCTGCCTGCATGCCACCATGCTTCTCATGAGGATAATGGACTAAACCTCTGACACTATACACAAGCCTCAATTAAATGCTTTCTTTTATAAGAGTTGCCATGGCCATGGTGTCTCTTCACAGCAACAGAACACTGACTGAGACAGCAACAGTCTACAAGATTTGATATTAGTGCTATGGGAGCCAGGCTCCAAGTTGGTCACAGTGATGATCATCTTCTAGTATATATGCCCTTTTGTGATTATTTTCCACCCTGACTAGAACCAATAGGATAGTGTGGAAGTAACTGTGTCTTGGTTTTGTTTGTACTGATACATGGGCTCATATGTAGCCCAGGCTGGCCCTGACCTCTCAGCAATCCTGTTTCAGCCTCCCAGCCTCTGAGCTTGCAGGCCTGGGGTTCCATGTGTGATCTGTAGTGTCAGATCCTAAGAGAGAGACAGTGTAGCTTCATCTCTTCCTGTGTGAAAAGCTGACAAGAAGGACATTCAAGTGGCCTTAAGGGGTATATGTGTAATAAGAACCGAGACTTGCCCAGAGGTGATGGTGCATTCCTTTAATCCCAGCACTGGGGAGGCAGAGGCAAGTGGATCAGAGGCCAGCCTGGGCTACAGAGCAAGTTCCAGGACAGCCAAGGCTACACTGAGTAAACCCTGTCTCCAAAAAACAAAAACAAGAAAAATTTAGGCTTTTACTCCTTTAATATCAGAACTCAAGGCAGAGGCAGGTGGATATCTATGAATTCGAGGTCAGCCTGGTCTACATAGCAAATTCCAGGATGACCAGGACTGCAAAGAGAGACCCTGTCTCAAAAACAAAACAAGCCGGGCGGTGGTGGCGCACGCCTTTAATCCCAGCACTCGGGAGGCAGAGCCAGGCGGATCTCTGTGAGTTCGAGGCCAGCCTGGGCTACCAAGTGAGTTCCAGGAAAGGCGCAAAGCTACACAGAGAAACCCTGTCTCGAAAAACCAAAACAAAAAAAAAACAAAAAAAAAACAAAAAAACAAAACAAAACAACAACAAACAAACGAAACAAAACTGAGGCTTTCTCCCAAATACAAGTATCAACATCCCATCATTAAGAATACACCTTCTTTTTTCTTTTTTTGGTTTTTCGAGACAGGGTTTCTCTGTGTAGCTTTGCGCCTTTCCTGGAACTCGCTTTGGAGACCAGGCTGGCCTCGAACTCACAAAGATCCGCCTGCCTCTGCCTCCCGAGTGCTGGGATTAAAGGCGTGCGCCACCACCGCCCGGCTAAGAATACACCTTATTTTTTCTGTGCCTGAAATGTATACTTTTAATCTAGGGAAGTAGAGGCAGGAAGTCATCTCATCTGTGAGTTCAAGTATAGCCTAATCTACATAGTGAGTTCCAGACTAGACCAGCTGCATAGTGAGACCCGGTCTCAAAAAAAGAATATTTAAGAATAATATCTTCCAATTCAAGTAATACTCTCTGATAATGGTGGCTTCGCATAAGAGCTCCAAATTATGACTATCTCGTGAAACTGCTACTAACTTCTGACTTAGGTTTTCCTAATTTTTGTGCTGGATAGTTTTATGTCAACTTGACACAAGCTAAAGTCATCTGGGAGGAAGGAACCTCAACTGAGAAAATGCCTCCACTGTATCAGGCTGCAGGCAAGCCTGTAGGGCATTTTCTTTCTTTCTTTTTTAAATTTATTCATGTATCAGTGCTCTATCTACACGTACGCCTGCAGGCCAGAAAGGGCATCAGACCCCATTACAGATGGTTGTGAGCTGCCATGTGGGTGCTGGGAATTGAACTCCGGTCCTCTGGAAGAACAGCCAGTGCTCTTAACCACTGGACCATCTCTCCAGCCCTGTAGGGCATTTTCTTAATTAGTGATTGATAGGGGGGAGCAGCCCATTGTAGGTGGTTCCATCCCTGGGCTGGTGGTCCTGGGTTCCACAAGAAAGCAGGCTGAGCAAGCCAGGAATTAGCACCCCTCCATGGCCTCTGCATCAGCTCCTGCCTCCAGGTTCCTGCCCTGTTTGAGTTTCTGTCCTGACTTCCTTTGACGAATGAACAGTGATATGGAAGTGTAAGTGAAATAAACCCTTTCCTCCCTGAGTGGCTTTTTGGTTATGGTGTTTTAGAAATCTAAGACAATTTTTAACTTTTTTATTTAATGTGTGTGTGTGTGTGCATGTGTAGGCACGTAGGTGTCATGGTGCATGTGTAGAGGTCAGAGGGTAATTTGAGGCAGTCAGTTCTCTCCTTCCACCATGTGGATCAGCAAGGATTAAACTCAGACCACGAGGCTTGTTGGCAAGCTCCTTTACCTGCTGAGACATCTCAGCAGCCTCCTGACCTATGTACGTATTCTGTGTGAAATGTTTACTGTCCTGTGTCTCAAGACAGGGTCATCTTGTACAGCCCACGCTGGCCTCACTCTGGTCCTTTTGCCTGAGCCTCCAGAGAATGGGGATTACAGGCATACCACTACAGCTGGGCTCACTTTCCTGTTAGAATGAATACACGGGAGGCTGGAGATGTAGCCCTGTGGTAAAAGCCAAGGTTCAATCCCTTGCACCAGGAAGAAAAATGAATAAGGGAATGGATCCAACTCCTCTATCCTTTTACAGATTAAGTTAAATTTAAATCTCATAAAGAACTAAGCTTTAACTGGGCATGGTAGAGGACTCCTGTGATCTCAGGACTTAGGAGATGGAGGTAGGAGGATTGGGTTTCAAGGCCAGGCATGACTGCTTAGTTTGAGGCCAGTCTGTGCTACATGAGAGCTTCTTAAACAAAACACCACCACCACCCTGCCCCTCCCCCACAATGAAAGAAAGAAAGGAAGGAAGGAAGAGAGAAAGAAAAAACAAACAAAGGAAAAGAAGCTTTGAGGCTTTGAGTGTTATGAAATACTTTTAGTTTTATTTAACTTTAAGGTATGATTTGGAAGCTGGGTACAGAGGCCCATGCCTGTAAAGCCAGCACTCTGGAGGTAGAGGCAGGAAGATCACTCACATTCAAGTCTAGCCAGAATGGCCAGGGCTACAGAAACCATATTTCTCAAACAAAAAGGAGGGGGAAGGGCTGGAGAGTTGGTTGAGTGGTTAAGAGCACTTGTTATTCTCATGGACGACCAAGGTTCAGTCCCCCGCCCGCATGGCTAACAACCATCTGTAACTCCATGTCTAGGTATCTGAAGCTCTGTTCTGACCTCCGAGGGCACCGGGCACACAGGCAAAACACTCATACACATAAGCTTTAAGAATCACTTTTTTTTTTTTTTTTTTTTTTCGAGACAGGGTTTCCCTGTGTAGCTTTGCGCCTTTCCTGGGACTCGCTTGGTAGCCCAGGCTGGCCTCGAACTCACAGAGATCCACCTGCCTCTGCCTCCCGAGTGCTGGGATTAAAGGCGTGCGCCACCACCGCCCAGCAAGAGTCACTTTTTTAAAAGCCCTGGAAAAATATCAATAGGTATTGCTTGGAGAGCTGGAGAGATGGCTCAGTAGTTAAGAGTACTGGCTGCTCTTCCTAACGACCCATATTCTAATCTGATGCTGTCTTCTGACTTTGTAAGGCACTAGGCACACATACGTACAGACACACAGCCTGGCAGAACACACATACACATAAAAAAAACAAAACAAGCCGGGCGGTGGTGCATGCCTTTAATCCCTATCAGATCCCCTGGAACTGTAGTTAATAATAAGCTAACATGCTGGTGCTAGGAACTGATTCTAGGTCATCTATAAAAACAGCAAGCACTCTTAACCATTAAGCTATCTCTGCAGTTCCTAAAACCATTTTTTTTTCCCCGAGACAGGGTTTCTCTGTGTAGCTTTGCGCCTTTCCTGGAACTCACTTGGTAGCCCAGGCTGGCCTCAAACTCACAGAGATCCGCCTGGCTCTGCCTCCTGAGTGCTGGGATTAAAGGCAGGCGCCACCACCGCCCGGCTAAAACCATTTTTAAAACACATGCCACTCACTGTTTTAAGCAGTGGTAACATAAAGTTGATAAAATGAGAAAACACAGAAACAACATTATGAACCTACCATAAAAAAGGCCTGGTGTGCTAGCGTAAGCCTTTGATTCCACAACTTGGGAGGCAGAGGCATGTGGATTTCATACTGTGAGTCTGAGGTCAGTCTGGTGTACATAGCAAGTACAGGACACCCAGGGCTACTTAATAGAGACTCTGTCTCAAAACAAACAAAAAAACAAACCAAATCAACCAACCAAACAACAACAAAAACTGTAACATCCGGGTGGCGGTGGCATATACCTTTAATCCCAGCACTTGGGAGGCAGAGGTAGACGGATCTCTGAGTTAAGGCCAGCCTGGTCTACAATGCAAGTTCCAGGACAGCCAGGGCTGTTACAGAGACACCCTGCCTCGAAAAACAAACCAAAAACCCCCAGAACATACCATAGTATTAGGTGCCCTATTGAAAAGAGAAATGGCGTCACTGTATTGTTATGACTTGTCTCTTCTGATCACATCCTTCCTCTCAGAAACTATTTAATCTACTAATGCATACAATTCTACCCAAACACGATGGTTTAAAGACTGGAGAGATGACTCAGCAGGTAAAATCTCTTGCTGCCAAGCCAGATGACCAGAGTTCAAGCTATAGGACCCAACTGGTAGGAGAATCAACTCTGAAGTTGTCCTCTGACCTCCACATGAGCACTACGGCACAAACGTACAAAAACATGGAAATAGTAAAAACCAGCAAGAGTCAAGCACCATAGCACGTGCCTGTAATCTATCCCAGCCACTCAGAGAATGAGGCAGAGGAGAGCTGAAGGCCAAACTGGGCAATGTTGCAAGAGAATTTGAAAAGAAGAAATTTCAAGGGTCTGGAGCCAGACGTGGTGGTGGTGCAAGCCTACATGTAATTCCAGCACTCGGGAGGCAGAGGCAGAGGGGCTGAGTTTGAGCAAGCCTGGGCCACTGTTTACAAAAAAGTCTCAAAACAAAACAGGAGTTGGGGAGTGCTTTGCCACACAAGCATGAGGAGCTGAATTTGAATCCCAGCAGGTGTGACAAGCACGTGTGTAGCCTAGCGCTGTGTGGGGCCAAGACAGGAGTGCTGGGGGCCAGCGTGTAGCTCCAGGTTCAGGAAGCCCCTGCTCAGAGCACAAGGCAGAGCTCACAGCCTAGACCCCATCGCCCTCCTCTGGCCGGAGCGTGCATATACACAAATGCCAGAGACAAACCGAAGGAAAAAGCTATCACAAAGCAAAAACTGACTTAGGTGTGATTTGCTCACGGTGGTGACTAGTAACTACAGAAGCATCGAAGCTTTCCTACTACTGCTATTAGTAAACGTTTTGAGATCCAAGGTTTCGTTCTAAAGCTTTGATTTCATTCCCGGAATGACTCGGTATACTTCAAGGCCCCAGCCACCCCTTCTAGAAGTGTTGGGCCCCTTGTGATACTTGCCTAGAATAACTGCTAAAAAGACCAATTTTATGAGGTTATATTGGTAACAGAAAAGAACTGTCATGAGTGAAGGGTGAGCCCAGTGTAACACTATAACCCAAGCACTCAAGGAGACCAACGCAGCGGGCCCTGTGTATCTGCACAGTGAACCACCGAAAAAACAGGGCATGGAGAACATGGGCCAGCGTTCCAGACGGAAGGTTGCTGTTTATCTTTGTCCAAGAGGAAAATAGAGAACTACAACAAAAGCAGCTAAACATAAGTACACACACAGCTTTAATTCTAGCACTCAAAACACACACAGCTGACTTAGGTCCCACCTGGTCTACACAGCAAATTCCAGGCCAGCTAGGATTGTGCTAACAAAATTAATTTGCAAGTACATTGTTAGCTACATCTCAAGTAGAACATAAACACTGATGACCCAACTGGATACTCTTAAGATCCAAAGTCTTTTTTCTCTCTTCTAAGAGTTTTATTTGTCTGCATTGGTGTTTTGCCTGTATGTATAAGAGTGCCAGATCCTCTGGAACTGGAATTAGTCAATTGTGAGCTGCCACATGGGTGCTGGGAATTGAACCCAGGGTTCCCTGGAAGGGCAGCCAGTGCTCTTAATTGCAGAGCCATCTCTCCAGCCCCCAAAACTTCCTATTTTTTTTTTCTATCTAAATTTGATAATTAGGCCATGGCATATCAAAAGCAATCAACACGTAAGCATCAATACACATACATATTGAAAGCACACACTACCTCATGGATGGGGGTTGTGACCATTTTTCACCCTTGTGTTCTGAAATCAACTGCACTCAAATTATGGAAAGTCTACTGTAGTGGTAGAAAGCTTCCCTCGCACACAAGAGGCCATGTTAGATCACCCGAGAACCTCAAAGAAATGAACCCCTGGAGTGGGCTACCACCCAGGTTCTGTGAACCAAATCTGGTAGAACAGCCAGTGCTTTTAACCACTGAGCCATCTATCTGACTTCCTGTGCTGTTTTGCCAAAACAAACCTAATTTTGGTGTGAGATTTAGAAATTAAGACATGCTCAGGAAATACAAAATGAAGAGGGTAAGAACCACACACCTCTGTAACAGAGGAACTGCACCAGTTATACTTGTTTTACAATGTTGCTAATGTTTGCCAGCTTCACACCAGCTAGGGTCACCTGCAAAGAGGAACTGCAACTGAGAAGTTGCCTTCATTAGGAAAGTCTATAGTGCATTATCTTTAGGACTGATGTGGGAGGGCCAGCCATAGTATGGTCCTCCCACCCCTGGGCAGGTGGCCCTGGGTTGTGTAAGAAGGTAGCCTGAGAAAGGGAGCAAGGCAGAATTAGAATTCCCTCTATGATGAACTATGAACTTGAAGCTGAAACAAACCCTTCCCTTCTCCAAGTTACTTTTGGTCAGTGCCTAAGTGTAAGTCCATGGCTTTAATATCACTCACCTATGTAATAATGCCAAATTCATCCGGAAAACTCATTTACCTAGAAACACCTTATTTCTCAGAACTCTAAATTACTAAAGACTGCCCATTCATTTACATTATTTTATTTGGAAATGTTTACAACAGTACAGTGAAACTAAACCCGAGACAATTGGCTGTCATTAGTTTGGGCATCATCAGTTTATTATAAAAGGGAGGCACGGAAATTATTTACATGATGAATAGTTCAGACCGTCAACGGAATGGGCAGCTTCATGTGACACCATTTCAACAGTGATTTCATTCCACATACTTTCCAAGAATGTCACCATCTCTAAATAAGAAGTAATCCTGTGAATAAAGAAGTCACTGGTTAAGACAGTAAAAGCAAATACACACAACTTATCTATCTATTTTTTGTTTTTCAAGACAGTTTCTCTGTGTAGCTTTGGTGCCTGTCCTGGACCTCGCCCTGTAGACCAGGTTGGCCTCGAACTCACAGAGATCCACCCCACCACCGCCCAGCTAACTTATTTAAAATCACAGCCTTACTCACCTTGTCGTCTAGAACTACTTTGGTGCCTCCGTATTCTGGGAGAAGAACTTTGTCTCCGACTTTCACACTGACTGGCTGAATCTCTCCACCCTTAAGAAAATAGTTGCGGATTAGCCAAGGCATCTTGTTCACTAGATACACAGTGAACTGTTTCAGTATGTACACCAGGAGCCTCCTGCCTCAGCTTTTCAAGTGTTGTTAATTATAGGCATGCATCAACCACACTCCGCTCTACAGACAACTTCTAAGTCACCAAATGAAACGTGCTCACTCAGATCCAGTATGTTGTTAGGTACCTCATTAGTGGTGAAGCAATATAATTTACATTAGATGTAGGTCATCACAATGTAAGCATTACTGTAGTTAACAAGGTGAAATAAACACCGTGGCTTACACTAAAACCACAGCTAAGGCTGGCTAACTTTTTAATTGTTAAATATTAACACACCCTGCAGACCATGTGAAGTAAAGCAGCTTTTCATACCAAATAGTAAATGGTTATGTATAACTTATTTCAATGAACGAAAACTTGGTATTCGTTTCAATATATTTATTGATTTACTGTCCTTGTCCTGAAGGCACAGACCTGGTCAGGTTACAACACAGCTACCGAAGAACTCATTTTGTGAGGTTCGGTTTTTCCTTTTTTATGATACAGTCTCACCCTGACCTTTCTGCTAGCCTAGAAGGCTCTACAATCCTCCTGCCTCGGCCTCCAAAGCACCAGGGCCACAGGGCATGAGCCACCATCATGGCAGGCACGTTTTACTATCTGGAGAGCATGGCACCGCAGAGAAAGCCCAGCGGGTAAACGGACTTGCTGTGGAAGCATGGGAATACCAACGCTAGTAAAATGGCTGTCACCCCGACATACTGAGGGCTGGAAACCAGGCTAGTTCAAATCAGAGACCTTGTCCCCAAAGAGTAAGGTGATGACTCTGCAAGCCAGCAGACATGTGTGTGCGCGCGTGCGCACACGCACACACACACACGAGAAATACCCGTGTGTATTTTTTGCCTTTTTTAGAGTCCCTCTCCATTCCTTATAAAAATAAAAAACAATTCTACAATCGTTTTCCTTAATGCAAGGTTCTCCGTAAACTGAAATTATTTCAAAGACACCCGCTATTTAAAAAAGCCACTTCTGATAAGCTAGGACTGACTTCCTTCCTTCCACATCACACATTAATACTCGGTACCCCTGTCGTAGCTCCAAGTTACCTTGCCTTTGGCGCCTGATCCCACAGCCACTACTGTGGCTTGCAATACTTTTCCTTGAGACTTTTCCGGAAGCATGATGCCGCCCTTGGTCACGGTTTCGGCGGCACTCCTTTCAACCAAGACTCTGTCAAAGAGCGGGAGAAACTTTCTGAAAGCCTGTCCAGCCTGTGGAGAGAAACGTGTGTTCAAACAGTGAGTATGTATCACTTAACACACTTAAACGCCTTAAAACACTTAACAGGTCAAAGCGTCCCAAACCGACAAGAAAACCCAGGCTAGGAAATATTCTTGCATTTTCCACTCTATATAAGCCAAGTTGAATTTCCACTCCCTAATTATTGTGTGTGTGTGTGTGGGGGGGGGGGTCTTCATTGCTCATCAGCAACCACACTACCTTTAACCACAACCCTGGTCCGCTCCAAGGTCAAATGTCTTCCTTCTTTAGGACTTCTTTTCTTTAATTCCAGTAACGCGGGGAGGAGGGAGGTCAATTTTTGAGCCTGGGTGCTATGTTCTCCACCATAGTACCCATCCACTATAGCCTTGCCAGGGCAGGTGGGCTCCTGGACCGTGCATCCGGGTCCCCGCCCCCTGCCCGGGACGCAGGCCTTGCACACACGTGCGCGTGCAAAGGAGCCATGGTGGAGAAACGCGGGCAGGCCTCGCTGCTGCGGGAGCCGGACGCCGCAGAGGCCCCCTCTCCCTTGTCCTGCCAGTCCTCAAGCGGCCCCTGGGGCACGCCGTGGGTCCCCGCGGGCCGACCCCGACCGGCGGGCAGGCTGGCAAGCCCCGGGACCACTCACCATGACTCGTGCCGCCGCCGCTCGGACTCTGCACCCGCCGCCGCCGCCGCTGCAAGGAGAGTCCTGCGGGCCGGGCTGGGGGGAGACACGTGAAGAAAAAAAAAAAAGGGACCGGGCAGCGCGCAGGCGCACTCAGCGCCGGAGCGTGCGAGGGGGCGGCCACGGCAGCGCGCGCGCCGATTGGTGGCCACGGCCCCGCGCAGGCCGCGGGAGGCGGAAGGGAAAGGGGCGCACTTTCTAGGCTTTTCCAGGCGGCCGGCCGAGGTGAGAGAACGAGGCCTTCCTCCTCCTCCTCCTCCTCCAGGAAGTGACGCCACCTGACCCTTGGCCCGCCCGCGGGGAGCGCGGCGCCTTTCCGGAAGGTTCTAGAAGGGAGCCCGGCCCGGGAACGAGCGTGCGGCGGCGCGGAGAGGGCCGAGCCCAGCTCGGGGCCGAGCCTGCTCGAGGGGCAGGGGGCGGGGCCGCGCGCGCGCGCCGCCCGCCGATTGCCGGGGCCCGGGCGGGAGGAGGAGGAGGAGGGGGCGGGGCTTCTCCTCCCCCCTCCCCTCCGCGCGCGCGCACGCGCACACACACACACGCACGCACGCGCGCGGGGCCGCGGGGCCGCGCGGCGGGGCGGGGCCGCGGAGGGAGGGGACTCGGGGCTCATTGCGGTGCGCGCCCTGCGCTCGGTCCCTCACTCGCCGCCGACGGCCTGCCTCGCCTCGTGCGCTCCCGCCGCCGTCGCCGCCGCCGCCGCCGCCGCCCCGCAGGTACGCGAGCCTCGGCCGTGCATGCTCGCCCCGGCCTGCTGCTTCCAGCACGGGCCGAGCACGGCGGGCCAAGGGTTGCGGCAAGCCTGGCAGCCACGCCGCAGGCTCGGCCCGGCTTCGGCTCGCCCGTCCAGGCCCCGGCGGGGCCACGCGGGCTCCCATCACGTGCGGCGGGGACCACGCGACCCAGGCCAAGCGCGGCGGGAGCGAGGACGGGCTAGGGTGGGGGGCCGCTGGGGCGGGCCGCCGGCGCCCGGCGCACCGCAGGACTCCGCTGGAGGGGGGTCGCGTTCCCTTCTGGCCCCCCCTCGGGCTGCGGGGATCCGGCGCCTCCACTTTGACCTTGTCGGGAAGACACGTGGGGCCGCGCGGCTGGGCTGAGCTGCGGTCCTGTATTATTATTATTATTATTTTTTTTTTTTTTTTTGCGGCCTTGCTAGCTGCTGTGCCCCTGTATGTAGATCGGAGTGGATACCTGGCGACACTTTTCCCCAGCGGGGTTTTGCACCGTCATGAATACTTGTACAGTTCCCTGTGCACTTGCATTTGGAACCTGCCTCGCTTACGCCAGCTTGATTTTTTTTTTTTTTTCTTCTCTCTTTCCCTCTCTCGGACACTTTTGGAGTGGGATCTGCTCCCAAGGCCGCTTTGGCAGTGAAAGATTAACTCGCGATGGCAGCAGGAGCGGGTGGCCATGGGGAAGAGCTTTGTGCCGGTGCTGTAGGTCAGGCCTGGGGGCGGCCTCTTCAATCCTCTGTTAGCAAGTGGTGTCCTGAATCTGCAGCGCCGTGGGTGGCCCAGGCGTGGCGGTTAGCAGAGGACAGCGGAGCACTGATCTACCTAGTCTCCATGTTCTGAAGCACAGGTGGACAAAGTTTGTCCTTAGCTAGTAGTGATCCTTTGCTTTTTCTTTTTTTTTTTCCCCTCCCCCAGAAATGCTTCGACTACCCACAGTCCTTCGCCAGATGAGACCAGTGTCCCGGGCACTGGCGCCTCATCTCACTCGGGCCTATGCCAAAGATGTAAAATTTGGTGCGGATGCTCGAGCCTTAATGCTTCAAGGTGTAGACCTTCTAGCCGATGCTGTAGCTGTTACAATGGGGCCAAAGGTATCAGTATACTTACAACCGTGTTAATTAAAGGATAGTGTTCTGTAGCTGCAAATTAGTATTTTGCTGTCAAGTTTTGTGAAAATCTGATTTGGATGTGGTACATGTTAGTGTTTGGGGGTGTTATTTAGGAGTTTTGTTAGTTGGTGGCCTTACCTGCAGCTGATTTGGAGGACTTTGGTGCAATGTGATGTGGAGAATAATAGCTCAAGGGGGGTTTCCAGACTTGAGGCGTAATTAATATTCTGTGCGTCCTGGCATTAAATTTTGGATCCTTTCCCAGTAACTAGAGGGTATAGAGGGAAGTACAGCTCAAAGTCCAGTAACACCTCAAGGTGCATTGTAGATGTGAGGTTTTACTTATTGTACTGAAATGTTCCTGTATGCATAAAGTAAACGCACTAGCATAGAGTTTAGATTTATTTATTTTTATATGCATTGGTGTTTTGCCTGCATGTATATCTGTGAAGGTGCCAGAACTGGAATTACAGTTGTGAGCTGCTGTGGTTTTGGGGTTTTGAGAGAGTCTCAATAGCTTAACTCCCATTGTGTGTACCAAGACTATCCTTGAACTCCTGATCCTCCTATTCCTACCTCCCAAGTGTAGGAGTTGAGCATACTGCTCACCTGGTATTTATTTGTTGAGACCGGGTCTTTAGCCATAGCTGACCTGGAACTCCTGTAGACCAAGCCAGCTTGAACAGTGCCGAGGTCAAAGGTCACACTAGCTGTGTGGTTGAAAAAGGAGCCATAGTACTTTGAGGACATCATTGGCTATGGGGCACGGTCATTTTAAGTTGATGCTAAAGCGACCTAAAGAGCTGCACACAGTGCTGTTTTATATAGCTCAAGACAGAATGGCTTGGTTCAAATCCAAGTGGCCAGTACTGTTGGGGCCATTTTTGAAGTTCTGTATTGAGTGAACAGGAAACTATTCTTAACTTACTGGCTGATGTTTAGTGAATGAATGTTGAAGTAAGTCATACTTTAAAAATAACAGTTCATACCAAAATTCAAGTACAATTGATGTGAAGAATGTTCCAGGATTTGGTGATTGTTACCTGTGCTTTCTTGTTTTATAGGTGGCATCGGTTAGTGCCAGGGTTTTTAATCTCCTGTTTTTGAGGTTTCATGTTGCAGGACTGTGACAACTTTGGGCTTATCACTGAGGGGTGCTATATTCTCTGTCATTGTAGGGAAGAACAGTGATTATTGAACAGAGTTGGGGGAGTCCCAAAGTAACAAAGGATGGGGTCACTGTTGCAAAGTCAATTGACTTGAAGGATAAATACAAAAATATCGGCGCTAAACTTGTTCAAGATGTTGCCAATAACACAAATGAAGAGGCTGGGGATGGCACCACCACTGCTACTGTTCTGGCGCGTTCTATTGCCAAGGAGGGCTTCGAGAAGATCAGCAAAGGGGCTAATCCAGTAGAAATCCGGAGAGGTGAGAGTACCGTGTCACTGACCCTACAGAAAGGAGAAATGACAAATTCTCATCTTTGTCCTTTTTTATTACATTTGCCATTGTGTGTGCACAGATTTGCTGGAGGGGTCCTCTCCTGCCTTTGCCTCATTGAATCAAAGTGAATATACTCGGGTGCCATATTGGAAACAAGAAACATGATTGGATTAGTATTAACTTACAGAGAATGAGTTGAATAGTGGGTTTTTTGTTTTATTTCTAAGAGTTCATTATTTTTATGGGCATTGATGTTTTGCCTGCATGTATGTCTGTGCAAGGATGCCAGACCCCCTGAGACTGGAGTTACAGACCTTTTTGAGCTACCATGTGGGTTCTGGGAATTGAACTCCGGTCCTTTTGAGGAGCATCCTGTACTCTTAACCACTGAGCCATCTCTCCAGCCCACAAGCAGTAAGATTTTTGAAACTATCTGCATTTTCTTACTTCATTCACTTCTGTTAAGAATGAGTGACTGTCCCTCGTAGCCCTCCCTGGTTTGGCCCCCTATATAACCCATGCTGGCCTTACAAGCAATCCCGCCTCAGCCTCCTGGGGGTTGGGATCACAGGCGTGAGCCACCGCTCCACATCTTGATCACGTTTTCACGAGCTTATGGTTTTCAGCTTGTGAAATTACAGGGGGGTTGAGGGCATGCCATGTCACTTGGATCCAGTTAGGAGGGTGTGACAGGAGAGCTTGCATATAGATGTTAGAGTGAGTCTTGAGTTTACACTCCACGTTATAGTAACATGCATTCTTGAACTAGGTGTCATGCTGGCTGTTGATGCTGTAATTGCTGAACTGAAAAAGCAGTCTAAACCTGTGACAACCCCTGAAGAAATTGCTCAGGTAAGGGTTTGATGTCCTGTTTGGAAAGAATTGAGCCACTAATTTTAATTTGGATCTTCTTTGGCTTTTCAAGACAGGGTTTCTTTTTTGTAGCCTTTTGGCTGTCCCAGAACTTGATCTGTAGACCAGGCTGGCCTCAAACTCACAGACATTGGCCTGCCTCTGCCTCCCAAGTGCTGGGGTTAAAGGTGTGTGCCACCACTGCCCAGCCAACTGATTTGGATCTTAATAGAGCCTTTAAAAAAAATGATTGTAAAATAAAAATTGTGTGGTTTGTGAAGATGTTCTTAGGTGTGGTCAATGTTCTTGTCCTATATGGGATCAGTCCTAGTCCTTGAAGCATAGTAGGCAAGTAAAATAAAGTGTTTTTTGTGTGTGTGTGCCTGGGTGTATGTGTGTGTTCCATGTATTAAGAACCCATAGAAGGCAATGTTAAAACAGTTGCCAGCCACTGTGATGCTGGGTACTGACCTGGACAGTAAGTCACCTTAACACTGAGCCATCTCTCTGGCCCCTTCCGTATATTCTTACTGTGCCAAAGAGCGGAAGGACAGGACGCCGCTCCATTTAACCAGTACTTCATTAAAACTGTTAACTGTGAAATGTCCCTCCCTCCCCTGGGTGGAAGGATCGGTTTAGAAGGTCGAAGGGGAAGAGGATTGAAAATACCAATCTTCCCATTTAATTTTGAAGTAATGTGGTTATTTCAGGTTGCTACAATTTCTGCAAATGGAGACAAAGACATTGGAAACATCATTTCTGATGCAATGAAAAAAGTTGGAAGAAAGGGCGTCATCACAGTGAAGGCAAGTGTGGGATTTGATGTGTTTTGATAATATCTTCAGTGAGGTGTTTGTCAACTTAGTTGTTTTCCAAACAAAAAGCTTGACCAGCAATTCATTCTGTGCCGAGTATGGCGCTTACTATTGTCTGAATTGGGAGCCTGGCCTCCCAG